ATGCATAGGGGCCAAGCTACTCTTGTAGGTGTCTAAAGATCAGTTAACTATGTTGAAAGCTGGGCTGGGTTCTTACAGGTATGGTGAAAACAGTGCTTTGAAAAACTGTGCACTTCAGCAGTTATTCTAGATCAGTGGTCAGCAATCTTTTTAGGCTGCAGGCCAGAGTGACCCAGTTTGGGTAATAGTGGATTGGTGCTAGGACCCAGATGCTGCTGCCATTTTTCCCTGCGGTGACATGGGGAGAGCGCCTGCTGCTGCCTCTCCCAGTGGCAGCATGAGAAAACCGCACATCTGAGTGCCAGATCAGATGGCTCCATGGGTCATAGGTTGTCATCTCCTGCTCTGGGTGGCTGCCTTTACAGTTGTAAGAGCATTCTTCATACAGAAGCTGAATTAGTTGTAGAGAAACTGACATCTTGCATCGTTCCTGAAGATGTCCTCGCCAATGGTATCACTATGAAAGATAGCTGACATTTCCTCTCCTGCTGACTACCTTCCCAGCCACAACCAGCATCCTGGTACTGCAGCATTGGCTCACATCCAAACAAAGTGCAAACTGGGTATTTAGAGAGTTGTTCAACTTGTATACCTACCAACTCCTCTGCTATTCTGTAATCTTGCCACAACATTCTTTCAGGTGGGTGAGAAAACTTGTTTAGTGGAGTGTTTTATTTGAACATTATCTTTCATATTTGCTGCTGAAATTATAAAGAAAATCAAACCACTAGCCTGGTAGAAGTTACTCATGAGGCAGCTGGAACCTGAGTTTGTTGAAATGCTAGTCTCTTTTTGACAGCATGCTAACCTGGAGGTGCAGAGAATATTTTCTTCAGTTTTATGCAGCTAATTCAAATTGATTAGCAGAAGCAATTCAAAGTTGGGAAACTTACTTGGGAGTTGAAAAAGCAAGTAAGTTTTATTTTCTTTTCCCAATCTAAGAATAAGAAAGGTTTAAATATACCTCACATTTAAAACTGCTTTATTAAACAAACAGAAGTATTTTAGTTTGTGAAGGAACTGAACTAAGATTTCAGAACCTCAAAATCTAGAGTTTGACACCTTGGCGAATATGATAACCAGAAACACTCAGTTCAGTTTGTGGGGTAAACTTTAATACTTCTGTTTGTTTAACAAAGCAGTTTTAAATGTGAGATATGTTTAAATCTTTCACTTACAATCCAGCAAATGTAAGGTAGCTTTATGTAGTTTGTTAATATCATATTCATACATTATAATGTAGTCCAGTCTCCATTCAAGTAAAGCATGACTTAAATCAGTGGTTGCCAACCTTTTTGGCAGGTGTGCCACAAGCTAAATCCCCCTCCAAGCTAAGTGTCCACACCCTAATAAAAAAAACCTAGAATTTTCCTTCTTTAGTACTAGATGAATTAAGAAATAGACCTTTCAGATTCTGTGAAGAAGCATAAAGAACACTCATGTTGAAGGTTTACCCTTAAATAACAAGGTCACAGATGTCAGATAACTACCAGATCAGCAAAATGGGAAAGAGAAAGGAGACATGATCTTGTCTCCTTCATAGGAACACAGAAGAATTCTGAGAATATAGTAGTTGAAGAACACCATTACCAAAAATACTTGGTTTAATTACTTCAGGTGACCGTAGTTTTCTAAACCATTTGCAGGCACAGCAGTTGGTTTTTCTATGCTGTTTTGGTGTGTACTTTTGTCAGAGTGTTTTAATCTTTTTAGCTCAGTGCTATCTGCAATATAAAATTCCGAGTTTCATTGGGCCCTTAATGAAGACAAATGCAAGTTGGAGGAGAAAAAATTTTCAGTGTTTGATTTTTTTTTTTAACTTTTTAAAGTTTACTGAACAGCTTGCAACGCAGTTAGATGGTAAATTTTACACTTGTGTATTGAGGTGTAAAATCTCTTTCAAATCTGGAATGTAAAATCAAAGAGGGCAAATGCAAGGATCCATATGTAAGATTCAAGTTTCTTGTAGACAAAGGGGAGGAACAAGAATAGGATCATCTCAGCTAGGCAAAACAGTGATGGAATGCTAAAATTAATTTGTGCAGTTTCTCAAGTTAAAGAAAACTGAGTTTTTTCAAGAACTGTGCCCAGTTTTTTATGTAAAAACAAAGTTCCACTTTTGAGAGAACGTTTTCTTATAAAAAGAATTTCAGAGAATATATATCCCCAAAGCCTATTTGTACAAGAAAGCTTGTTAAAATGTGTGCGGCCTGGTAGGAGCAATGCAGCATGGCTGGCATCCAAGGACTATCAGTGAAGAAAATCGAAGTACTAGCCTGTGAATGTAACGCTGTGCCATGTGTTTCAAAATGAGTTAAAGCATTCTGCCAGTTACACAGACAAAGCTATGGGAACAGCATGCTCTGCCAATATGACAATATGGGTTCCTCCTGTGGGGCCTGGTAATAGTCTTAGCGTTTATGGAAAAATTAAATTCAGTTGTTAGGTGCGGCCTGCACTAGTTCCCGAACCTTTTCTGGCTGACCAGGCAGGAACATAATGGTTTGGTTACTAAGTAACAATCTATTTTGCTTGTCTGCACAACATAAGAAATGGTGCCAAGAAACAAAGACTCTATTAACACAAACCTACAAAACTTGAGCACCTAAAATAGGTCTGGTAGCTTTGGTAATCCCACTGACTACTATTTTTTTTTCTTGTTGTTAGAGAGCATGCATGCGCTTAAGTCATGAAATCCAGGCCCTACTGAAGTCAGTGGGATTTCTGCTGTAGATTGAAGTTAAGATTTTATCTGTTGTGTATAAATCACTCTGCTATTTTATTATAGATCTCAAAATATTGTTGGTTTGCTGAGGGACTTTACACAGTCTTTTCAAAATATGTTCATATAGTTCAGTCCTATCAATTAAGAGTGCTGATGAAAATAATAATTAGTAACATCTCTAAACTAAAATTGGCACACCATAGAAATCTCAAATAGATTTGAGAGAAAAAGGATTATGCTGATTTATTCCTGCTTTATACATTGAAGAAATTAATTTAATCCAGTGAACAAAATCTAACTTTTTGTTGTTTTTTTGGTTTAGTACTTGGTGATTTTTAGAACACCATGAAAATTGCTTGTGGCTAAGGGGCTCTCTCTCTCTCTCTGCTGACAGTGCCAGTGTCCTCATCTCTAATCTGCATCACCCACATTTTGATGCAACTCAGGTTAGACACACTGTGCCCTTGCTTCTTGCCTTGTGTTTCCATTTATAGGCATTGTGGATAAAGCTGTTATTTAACCATTGAAGAGCAAAAACACAGCTGTTGTTCTCAAACTTGATTACCTGTTTTTTTACTTGAATCTGCAGAAATAAAGCACAATATTGGTAATTGCACCAAAGTAGCACCCTATTTATATTGGACTATCCAAGATGTATAGTAGGCATCTGTCTAATTTGCATGCATAAATGTATGCATGTAAAAAGCCTCTAAAGTAGGATTCAATACAAGCTTTCAGTGCACCTAGAGTAGCCACCTGGTAACCTCCATTGTTGATAGGTATTCAGTTAGGGTATTCAATTTGGCTAAGTACAGACAGTCAAAAAGCCCAAAGCTGAATTGATTCAGTCTTTGCAGGTTAGTCTAAGATGCAGAGATTAAATGGAGAAACAACTGGACATTTACTTTTGATTCAGGAAATGCAGCCACATGCCTGTAGTGGCTCAGGCCAGAAGCCGGAGGGCACTAGAGCATGGGTCTCAGCCAGCCTGGGCTGTATGCTGTCTTCCTCCTCCTGCTGGCCCCAAGGTCTCTGTGATTTGCAGTCCACAATCAAAATAGCAGGACTCTGCAGGGTTGCTCATCACTTCCTCTTCCTGCTTCCAGGTGCCTCTGGGATTTGTGGTCCACAGTCTCAACCAGCATTAAGTTCCAATAAATTTAGCAAGGAAGGGTAGCTCTGTACTTGGGGAAGTGGGGTTTAACCTCCCCCTCTCCCTAGCACCAGACCCCAGCCAGAGTTTGCCTGGGGGGGGCACTCCCCATCTCCCCCTCCCTCTTCCCTTCCCCACAACCCTTCTCTGCTGGAGCAGACAGCATAGCCCAGCCCAGGGCTGGAAAGCATGCTGGGATTCTGGGGGACTGTTATTTAACTTGGACCAGGAAGTGGTATGGGACAGAAGTTTCATAAACCGGTTTGATCCAAAACAGTTAGGTCTGATACCACATTCAACCAGGTTTATCTGAAACCAGTTTCAGCCATTTTGGAACTGGTTTATGTACACTTCTGTAAACTTCTGTTGTTACAGGTTTAAACCAATTTCTGATGACTTAAACTGGTTTATGTGTAACTTCTATCCTTAGACTTAACCTCCATTGTTTTAGGTTTATTTTCCCCTTGCATTGTGAAAAGTTGGGTAATGTGCAAATAACCATTCAGCCTTCAAGTGGAGTTCAGGATTTTCTCAGTATAAACCCCTTAAAGGAGTATTGTCATTACACTAGCAGTACTAGTAGTAGCAAGGACAGCTGCTTCATAAAAGCAGCACAAGAGTCCTTGGTATTTGTACTGTTAATACATGGAAGCAGTGAGAGTCTTCTAAAAGTGACATACAGCATTAAAGTAACAAACACATCCTGCTCTTTGTGCATTTCTCTCTGGTGTCTTTCTATTGGTTGTGACTATGCCAATAGAAATTGGGAGATTTGTCAGCAGATTTGTAGTTGATAGAGCTTAAGATTCACCATCCTGCATGTAGGTGAGACTGAACACAGGACCTTTCCTCACCTTTTTAACCATATGCTTATTTACTGACTCAGAACTGCAATCACTGACTAACTGGAAGTTGAACTTTACTACTCTGCCTCTCCCAGCATTTCTCCTGCTGGATAGAGGAGGTGGAAACTTGCATGCAAATAATCTTCAGGAACTGGAAGTTTTTTGTTAGAGGAAATGTGCATGTTTTCATTTTCCTGCAGAGGTTATAGAAACACTGGTTTATTTTTAGCATGCTGTCTTCTATCAGTTGCTCACTAAATCACCTGTGGGACTCGCCCTCGGTTTTAACCACTCCCCTCTGTAGACTTGGGTGACACTGCAGAATAGGATCTGTTTTCACTGACGACAAAAGCCTGAGGATTTTTGAGAAGGACGGGGTCATTACTTTTTTATTTGGAAAAAAGTTGGAGCAAATGCTTTCTTTGGAGATTAAGCAAATAAAAGCAGAAAACTAGCAAGTAGCAGTGAGGATATATGGTTTCCTTTTTTGTGAGTGAACTTTAGAGACTCTGAACTTGAATAACAAACTGCAGCGATGCAATCGGAAGCAGACTGCTTGAGTCCAGAAGCTCAAAAACTGGTAAGGGGAGAAAATTAATCTATTGCTTTAGTTCTCCTGTTGTTTGTACTGTATTTTAGAACTAGAAGGAAGGCAGTGCTTGACAGATATGTTTGTTTAGTGCTCCACTGGCCCTACCACCTTATGCATGTTGGTTTCAGATTACATTTAAGGAGCTATGGCTTCTGTATAGTTGAAGAGAATGTACATATACTAAATATAAGCCTTCTCCTTCCACCTAAATTCTGTTCCACGCGTCTGCCATATTTCATGTACAAAGAACAATCCCATCTAAAACCAGAGCTTGTGCGCAGTGGTATGTTTTTATTAATGATCTTAAAAATCTGTCCAGATGGTAAACTCCTAATGGCTGCATTTCAAAAGTTAATTATTTATTTTAAATAGCGGCTTCCTCTGTATACAATATCTAATTAAATATACACTGATTATGTGGAAAAGTGAATGTTGCGGATGTTTCTTGAAGACCTCTAATCCAGTGGTGTTCAACCTTTTTAGACTCAAGGTGCCGCTTAGAAAATGCTAGCTTTTAATTTTCACTTGTTTAAAAACAACAGAAAAATAATAGTCATTCTTCTGTAGCAGAGAACTCAGACAATAACAGATCACTGTTTTTAGCACTGAGTTCATATTTGAAATCTCTGGGTTTATTTTCTGAAACATGTTTGCACACCTAACAGTGGTAACATTGCTTGGCACATTGAGGCACCCTTAAAAGGATCTCAAGGCACTCACAGTGTTGAATCACCCTAGTTGTGAATCTCTTCTGTAATCATATGTGCCTCTCAGCTCTATGCTAAAAAGGTGAAACCAACCTTCTAAAAACTTTGTGCTGATTCAAATTCTCTTCCTTGCTGTTTCAAAGTTTCTGATGTAGATTTATAGAAACTCCTTAATGCTACCTGACAGTGTTAGCAAAGTCCCTTTTATTAGTTTTCTCAGTGCTAGCTTACAGAAGACAGTTAGTGATTTTAAATGCAATAATAATTTGATGTAAAAAATCTCAAGTTTTAAGTATTTTTAATAAAAAGATATTTTTCTCAGACCTAATGTAAGAAAAGTTATACCTTATTAGGCCTATTTGAAAAAGCCTAAACTACATAATGCTCGATTTGACATATGAGCAGACATGTTAAATTAAAACTTGGCTGACATATTTTAAAGAAACTCCATAACAGTCCCTGTGGTGTCAGTGTAATGTGTAAGACTGACAGTGGAAATGCTGACTTGTCTGTTCATAGGTTTGTCTAAAGTGCAGACTCAAAAGTGTATTTCTGGCACATCAATTGCAAGTGAGAGTGGAGTGTGTGCATTTATACACAGTAGAGTTGCAGAGGGGAAACCTGTTGGTGTTCTGTTTCAGCGGCGAGATAGATGCAGGTTAAAAGGTGACCAGCTAAACAGGCTCTAGATTCCTCAATCCCCAGCTGATCCACAAGTCAGAGATAGCATGAACAAGCTGTGCCAAGTACCGTTTTTATAGTTGTGTAAAGGGACTGATACTTATGGAGCAATATGAGCAGAGAGAGGGAGATTTTTCCCTTACTATTTTAGCTCATGATCATTAGTTTGGCCACTTGGATAAATTTATTATTATTGTTTCAAAATGCCTAAGAAAGAATTTTAAAATGTATTCCACCAAACAGTTTGTTTTTAGATGAACTGTTTCAATACCTCCAAAAAGCCAAATGAATTCTGGGATAGAGTACTTGGCTGTATTAATGGATAGTGGGACAGCGTTATCATTTAGATTTTAATTTCAGGATTTTTATCAGAAAAATTGAAAAATACCTTTTGAAAACTTTAGTTCTTAAAATACTGTCTGTGGTTGAGGTGAAACTACTTATTACAAATACATAAAACATTATCACTTCCAACTCGTATGTTGGAGTTTGGTGTCTGTCTCAATATTTTGATTTGCTTCACTGATAAGGGAGAGAGGATGATGACCACTTCATGTCAATAATGCAGTAACCAATTAAAGATAGCTGCATCTCTTTAAAAGAAGAGGAGGAGGGACAGGGAAGAAAACCTCTTTTTGTTTTGTTGCTGGTACATATTGCAGCTGAAGGTTAGTGTTGAGAGAAGTAGTTAGTCATGTTAGTCTGTAGTCAGTCAGAAGGCAGGATAGATGTGCACCTTAATAGACTCACTAAGGTGTGACTTCATATATTACATGAATATGAGTACAAGCTTTTGGGAACCTGAGTTCACTTCATCAGATGCTGTGAAAGGACATGCAGAAAGCAGAGTATAAGGAGAGAGAAACTGAAAAATAGGTTGTCAATGTACCACTTTGCTAAAGAAGTTACGCGGCTAAAGAAGTTACGTACTACTTCAGTAAGACAAATGCTGTCATATTCTGTTGATCACGTTTATCTGTTGACTCTGCATCTCAAAACAGGTGGAAGGAATGGCAGCACAAAACGCATCTTTCAGCATGTCACTGTGGAGCATGCTTATACTTCCAAACATTAAAAATTGTTAGACGTTAACTTTATACAAAAAAATAGAAAATTTAAAATAGACTCAAAATAAAGTGTCCTCCAGTTAAAAAATACAGCGAATTGTTGTATGTATGCTGTTGCTTGACTAAATTGTTCAACTCTTCCAGCAACATTGAACTTAAATAAAATGATTAGCAGAAGAAGTAACTTAAAGTAATCACTTCTTCAGGCAGAACTGGTTTCTACCAGCAAACTGTGGCAGTGCCCCCTCTCTTTCTTACCTCTAACCCATAAGCACCTGCTACTAGTTTTGAATACTAAACCCTTAACAGAATGAAGTGTTCCTTTAATGTAACACAGTCTTTCAAAGTTCATCTACAAGCAGTTACAGAATTAATGCCAGGTTTGTTCCATTTAACACTACTGTAGTTTCCTGCCTTTGTTGTCTGTTTCTTTGGAGATCCAATTTAACAATGAAGTCTATACGTTTTTCAGGGCATTTCCTTTCACATTTGCACCTTTGGGATATGTCTCGTAGAAACCTGTACCTAATTAAATCTCTAATGTATATTATCTCGTTCAAAGTAAGATTTATATGCGTTACTTCCATGTGCTTGGAAGGGGGGAAATGTATTCTTTAACCAGGAAGTCAGAACTTCCTTAGCCATTGTTTTGTTTTATACTGGCTGAGCCCAGGCAGGGTTAGATATGGGTGCAAACAGGTTTTGGTCCGTTTTAACTCCTGTCTGATTCGTTTTTAGGTTGGCACTGATATTTGAGAAAGTATGGGGAAGGTAATTGGTTGTAACCTACTCTTGCTGGCTCTCCATCTTGTGGGGAGCAGTAGTGAATAAAGATTCTTGTCCAGAGGTAAAGTAAAAGAAAAAAACCTGATATTTTCAGAGACATTGGGTGAATCAGAGCTGTAGAAATTAGTTTTATAGTCTGTAGGGTTCTTGTACCTATGAGATGCCGGCTATCAAACTCTTTAAGCAGGATGAGTGTCTGGTATTAATTAGTATTTTTCATTCTTTAAAAAGATAAGTTTGTGGCTTTAATTTAAAGAACAGAGACATCCAGCTGGGGTATTACACCAGCTGGTCAGCCAAGAAGGAAATACTACACTTTTTCAAGTATAGTAATATACCTGTATTAGGGCCTGCAGTAGCTTTAAATGTTTTAGTGTTCAACTGTAATTCTCAAAATGCAGCAGTATGTATTGATATGGCAGCGTTTTGGCAATTTCTGTAAAGCAGTGTTGTTCTAAATAACGCTGACTTCCATGGTCCTCTCCACAAGTGACTGTCTCTTCTTTTCTCTGTTTTGTCTAGGGCATTGTTTGTAACTCCTCCGTATTCCTTGGCATAAGAGAATTGGTAATTTGAACCTTTTACTTGTCGGATCAGTCAATACGGTATAAAAGGGAGGATTCAAAGCTTTTAACAAATGTAATAGGGCTACACTTCTTATTTACTCATCTGTCTCTCCAGTGATTTTTTGAGTGCTCGCCTGTCCTTTTCTAGTTGAGTCTATTAGAGGCCTGCATCCCTCATTAGGTTTTTGGCAGTTTCTGAAAGATTACGTCATCTATAAAATATCTAAATTAATTATTTTTAATCTTGAATAACATGAAAGAATTCTTTCATATCAAGTTTGACAGCCTGGAGAGTCTTGCCGTAATTTTCATTTACACATTTTACAAATTTTCTCTTAAGTCCTCTTGTTTAGAGATTTCACTGATGTGCAGTTCAGCTGTCATCTCCTATTGGATGTAAGCAGGTCTGTCTCCTACCATCACTCTCAAGTTAGACCCCAGTTAATATTTGATGTGCTTATCTGCTTGGTCTGAAGGAGGGCCAAATTCATGCAGGCAATGTCTGTTCTGGCTTAGTCAGCAAGCAGTGGGAAATTAAAATGGCTATTTGCATAGAGCAGAGGAAATCAAGATATTTAGAGCAGAGAACTGTTAACATCCATAAATTAAAACCAGAAACCTTGGTTCCCCCCTCCCTGTCCCACCTGAACCCAAACCCAGTCTGCTGAGCACCCCCCCCCCACCCCGCCACGATTGCTGCCGCCACTTGCTCCCTGCTTATGGCAAATAGTTGAATAAGCCCCCTCCACTGGACGCCAGAGGGTGGAGGCTTATTCTGACACTTGCTCCAAGCACAGAGCAAGTGGCAGTGGCCAAGGTGGGCAGACCCTGTTGTGGTCCCCTGGAAGCAGAGGGGGGAATAACCCTGCTCTCTGCCCCCACCCCCAAGGGACCCTGGAGCAGCGAGGGGGGAGCGACCATGATGGGGGCAACAGCCCCTCTCATGATTTCTCCCAGCGTGAGCGTCTTCCCAGTGCGGGGCGTGCACTGCATGGTGATGAAAGCTGCTGTGGAGCGTGGCGGCAGCGGTGCTATGCGGGGCTTGGAGGGCTCTGTCCCCCTCCGAGCCCCAGTGTTGCCATGCACAGTCTTCTGCAGCTCTGCCTGCCCTGCAGTGGGGCCCCCTTCTGGGAAGGTGCTCACACTCCCTGACTCTATGACAGGGGCTGCTGCCCCCTCCT